TGGCAAGCGAGCGATAAATTTCGGTGCGATCGACTGAAATCGAACGTGGCCAAATTTCGAGATCTTGGACTTAGAAAAATTTTTGCTCACTGTTAACGTTTCGTCAGCACAATGACAACAGTGCCGGATAACATTGATAAAGGGAAATTAACATCTTGCGATAAATATCCACCTCTTGATTATGATCTTGCATGGCTCCTATCATCGGTTCTCTGCTCAAACCAATTTCATGCTAATAGGGAAAGTGAAACGTTCACATGGCAGCGTTCATAAAGATATTCATAAAGATAAACATAAAGGTTTGTCGTTAGAAAAGGAAACAGACTTTGACTGCCCCACAATAATTACTCTTCACAACGACCCAGCTGAAGAAATGTTTCCGAACTTCAGTTTACTCACAATCAGTGAAATCTGAACTTATCAAATTATCGTTTGGAAACCAACAAATTATCATATTGCCTCTGTGTTTGCTAATTGTGAGCTAACATTACTTCCTGTTGCCATTTTTCCTATAAAGCCGCACTTAGTACTTTTAGCACGTCAGTGGCCGGTTGTCTGGCGGCAGACGGCAGTTACCTGAGGTCAGGTACGTTTTAAGGAGTTTAATTCTGAAGTTGCTTCTTGAGCGGATTATTCTAACTTCAATTCTACAACCTGTCGCTATTTATACTTCATAAAACTCATCGCTGAGAACATCACTGAATGAATTTCATTGTCGAAATAGCTGATTGAAGAGTTGTCTTTCTTTTGTTTTGCACTTACAGGATATTGAGTGAATTGTATTGATTTACTCATCCCTAACGTTTTACTGATGATACCTTATTATTAGCCACCACCACTGCCGGTGCCTGCAGAATGCATGAATGTACTGAATAATGTAACACAAATGCCAATGTTCTGTTTCAGTGGTTCCAAAGAATATGGACGATCAGAAATCGAACCTAGCTGTGGTAAGTATGCAATTGATCGAGGCATTTCATGTAGTTGGTCTTTTCAAACTTCTTCAGTGATACATGCTCACTCACGAGTAAACAGTCCCTCGAAAGGATAAGCCTTGGTTCAAGCGCGTTTCTCACGTTCTCATGCAGTCGTTCACTTATATCACCGTTTCGTGTACTGTTCTTGATTCATTCGTTCATCATAGAAGACATTCAGCACGAGTTCCAAAGAACAAATTTGACTTAGATGAGGGTATATTCTTGAACACCGATAGAGTATCAAGAAGTTCGTTTGTGATTGTGTTTCTAAAGTTGAGTTTAGCACGTTCATTGAGGCTCATCAGAGTATCAGTGTAACTTGATTGCCTGATTATTCCTTTAATAAGTATGATTGAGGAATAAACCACTGAAAAGCAATTTTATAGCTGTTAACGATTTACAGTGACAACAATGACAGAAATCGAACTTACAGAATCAAAAGGTTGATGACGATAAATATTACTTTTTGACATGGAATGTCATATTAATTGGGGGTATAATGTCGGTTTCTCTGATTGGTTTCATCGTAATGGCATCGCTCCGATTTCGCATACCACTTTCGAGCAGCACTTATAACGGCGATGAAATGTTCATTTCCATACAGCTGGATCCACATAAAGACAGTTATATATTTTCTGACGATCCAGGTTTCTTCATTCATTCATAAGTTATTTATAAATTTTCCAACACAAAATATTGAATCAAGTACTAATTACAAAATTACAAGAATTATTCAGTAATCGTTTCTCAAATGGTACACTTTATCTTTCGATCGCTTCTGTGCATACTAGCAGTTGTTGCTTGACACTGTGTTATATTCTCGTCAAACAAGGACTTTGAAATTCATGCAATTAGATAAGCCGTCGAAAATTCAAGGCCTAAGAAGTAATGCAGTTTTTGACTTGTGAATCGATTGTTTGTTCGGTCCTCAAGTTCATTGTGGACTATGTGTGATATGTGAAAAGTAATTTTTTGTTTTCGATACCAGTTCTTGTTCACGTGAGTCATCTAATAAACTTCTGCTGTGCAAAATCAATCATTCCTTCCTTCCTTCCTAATAAAAGAAAACGGTTGAAGATATCATTACCTGTTAACGTCAAGATTACTTTGTTTGCAAGTTGAAAGAGATAACTGATTAGTTTCAGAAACGACAGAAATGACAACAACAGCTGATTATGAAAAAATGTCACCAGATGATCAGAAGTCGAATGAATCGACAACAAATCCATTTACGCTAACTCCAGCCAAGGAACCCGCAGCGAGTACGGAGGCAGCAGTACAATTCAAATCATCGAACCCAACAACAACAAAGCTTATGCATTCAACATCGACACCACCATCAATTACACTGATGCATGTGTTGACAACAGCAGCTGCCATCAAATGGCCACCAAAAACAACTGTAACAATTAAACCGACACCCATAACCCAAGCTAGCACAAGCACTACCCGAAACATTATCCAATCTAGCATACGTACTTCCCAAACCACAACTGAACGTAAGACAAGTATTTTCCAAAGAGGAACCACTAAATCAATTGTTACCCCTACACCAATGACAATTGTCTCGAACGTTCCAGTCCTTCAATCTCAAAATGTGACGCAACTAACCCCGAATCAACTTCCAAACACTGTCTCGAACGTTCCAGTCCCCCAATCTCAAAATGTGACGCAACTAACCCCGAATCAACTTCCAAACACTGTCTCGAACGTTCCAGTCCCCCAGTCTCAAAATATGACGCAATCAACCTCGAATCAACTTCCAAATCAGCTCGGTGGTGTTAATTCGTTGAATGAAACAACGAACGGTGGTATTGCAAACATGGCAAACTAATTACCTAACAACAACCCAAACATGGCAAACCAATTACCCGACAACAATCCAAACATGGCAAACCAATTACCTAACAACAACCCAAACATGGCAAACCAATTACCTAACAACAATCCAAACATGGCAAACCAATTACCTAACAACCTTCCTAATACAATTGTCAATACGGGCAATACGCAATAAATACCAACACAAAAATGATCAAATGAACAAGACCAACTGAAAACGCATGCTAATTCATCAACAATTCTTCACTGCACAAAATACTGCATTCAAAAGCTTTATTGTTCGTAGAACTTCTGTGTGATTATTAATAAGCATAATGATTGAAGTATTTATATCAGATTGTGCGGGTGATTATTCAAAACTTTGCATGATTAGCATTGTCCATTGTCTGCTGATAATAAATCGTAGCTTTGAATTATGTAAATGCTATCACCTGCGGCTATATCTTTTGTGTAGTACATCTGAGAATTGAAACAGCTTACGGTGCTATTTCAGTCGCTGACTCTTAATGAATTCAACTAGCATACAGTCAATAGACTTATGCAATACAACACAGCCAGTGAAGTAGCGTTTGGAATTTGTCCCTCGTGGGGACATAAACTATCACGATAAGTCGCGAGATTTTGTGGAAATTTTGGATCCGGAAAGAAAGATTCCATGCAATTTGAAAATCAGAAATTCTGGAACGAATCATTGAGAAAGTTTTCGAAAGACAGTTCTGATTTAAGAAGGTATTCGAAAAGATGTAAGTGTAACAATGTAACTGGTATACTAGGAGAATGTAACAATGTAGTATCATGAACAGATTTCGTGGATATCATGGATGGAAACAAGATATCATTGGATATTATGGATAGAAACATGGATAGAATGGAAAGATATCATGAAGTTTCCGTACGTTTTGAATGTAACAATGTAACAAGCATACTATGGGAACGTAACGATGTTTTCATTACGTTCGAATGACTGATGATATGATGAGAAGTCTTAAAACGTTTTGTGGCTTATATGACGTCACTTCACCTGCTCTGGTCGCTTCTCGCTCTGTGGCAGATCATTCAGCTTCGATTTGTTCGAGGGTAATATTGTTTTGCTTGAATGATGATAGTGAAGACTTCATCGTATTTTTTGATTATGTTTCTGATTTTGATTGTAGTTTTGATTATAATCTTAAGTTATAATGATATAAGTATGGTAAATATAATTTGCGATTTACACCGATCGAATTCCTGAAAGGAACCGAATAGAATCGTCAAACATTATGTATATTAAATCAAAAAATATCACCTAGTAACATCATTAACTACGATTCGAGTTGCTAATGTTGCATGTACGGGGTGATAAACATGCATATCATGTTCTCGTTTTCACAATTTGTCATGTTCCGTCTGACTTCAACTATGAAAATGTGTACCAACTAAATGCCGTCTTGATTTTAGCAATCTGAACTTTGATGGAATTATTTGTCATCAACGGCATAATAAAAAAGTTCTGTCATTCGTACATAACAAGTAGGATGCTATTTGCAGTATGTAGTATGTTGTGTAGTTACGACCTGTATTTTATGTTTGTAGTATGTAGAACCTTATAATGAACTGTTGTTTCTTTATGTGCAACATCCAACTTATAATACAGTTTAATGTTATTATAATGCTATAATTGTAATCCATACGGTTAATCGTCATCATTATCCGCTAACCACTGATACTCATTATAATCCAGATAGCCTGAAGTCATATTCAGCTTTCAAAATTCAACATGATATTACAGTTTTTGAGTTTATATTGATATCCAGTTGACAGTATTGATTATGTGACTCGTATTGTCTTACTTGTGTGGTTCGTATTCGTTTGATTATATATGATAGTCGTGATTATATGTGATAGCCGTTGAAGACGTATTGAATATTGGTATTTATTATCGTTTACATATGATAGCCGTGATTATATCTATATATGATAGTCGTTGTCGCTTGTTATTACGGAGTTTATATTGATTTGAGTTGAATCCATTAAAGTAGTAGCAGTTTCGAAATTCGACACTTGATATGATACATCTGAAAATGAAGCAGTAGAACATTTTCCCTCTCTATTTGTCCGGGCTGGGGACCGGCGCTAAGCTGGTTTGACTAGCTGTTTTGCCAGTCAAGCCAACTCAGTGGCTAGATTAAAAATGTTTTTTTGCTGCTGAGGCAGGAACCTGTAGAAGAGGAAAGAAGGTTCCAAACCTCAAAAGGCCAACCGTGGCCACAGCGGAAAAATGTAGCACGCATGATGTAGGGCTTGGCAATAGCTAAATGATATAGT